GCCGTGCAGCCCCCAAGGCAGGCAGCTCTGCAGATACCTGGCATCCGTGAGCGGGCAGAAATGGGCATCCAGCGGAAAATCTGACCCTTCTCTTCCCTCTCTGCTCTGCCATTTGGCTCAATTTGTCTGCCTCGATGTTTCTCTCCGCTGCCTGAGCAACACAGAATCCCATGGGGTTGGAAGGGACCTCTGGAGATCATCTACTCCAACCCCCTGCCAGAGCAGGTCCACCCAGAGCAGGTCCCACGGGAACATGTCCAGGTGGGGTTTGAATGTCTCCAGAGAAGGAGACTCCACCACCTCCCTGGGCAGCCTCTGCCAGGGCTCTGCCACCCTCACAGCAAAGAAGTTCCTCCTCATGTTTAGGTGGAACTTCTTACATCCAAGTTTGTGCCCATTTCCTCTTGTCCTGTCCTTGGGCACCACTGAAAAAAGCCTGGCCCCATCCTCCTGACGCCCAGCCTTTAAGTATTTATGGGTGTTGATCAGATCCCCCCTCAGCCTTCTCTTCTCCAGGCTAAAAAGCCCCAAGTCCCTCAGCCTCTCCTCATAAGGGAGATGCTCCAGGCCCCTCATCATCTTGGTAGCCCTCTGCTGTCCCCTCTCCAGCAGTTCTTGAACTGGGGAGCCCAGAACTGGTCCCAGTGCTCCAGATGGGGCCTCCCCAGGGCAGAGCAGAGGGGCAGGATGACCTCCCTCCACCTGCTGCTCACCATCTTCCTGATGCCCCCCAGGATGCCCTTGGCCTTCTTGGCCACAAGGGCCCATTGCTGGCTCCTGGGCATCCTATTGTCCACCAGGACTCCTAGGTCTTTCTCCTCAGAGCTGCTCTCCAGCAGGTCAGCCCCCAACCTGTCCTGCGCTTGCCTTTATTGAAGTTCATCAGGTTCCTCTCGTGATGATCTTCGTGCAAAAAAAAAAAAAAAAAGGGAATCAGATTATACAACTTCATATACTTGTGAAAAATTATCCAAAATCTCTCAATGGCACAACTAGTTGCATGTTTCATTTATTGACAATCACAGTACTGCAAATTCCAAAATAAACACTGAGTTGCTTATATTCCTGATCCCCATCAACTTCAATTTGTTTTATCCTGCAATCATAACTATTAAGAAGCAAGTAATATTTTCTAAAAATATGCTAAAAATAAAAGAGGAGAGAAAGACAAAAGAGAGAATGTCAGCAAGTGATGATCTTCGTGCAAAAAAAAAAAAAAAAGGAGGGGGCATGTTTTAAGAGAGCAGAAATCTTCAAGAAGTCTATAATCTATATCTCTGTCTGGAAGCTCGCATGGCTGTTTCTCTTAAGCACCATATGGTGAAAAAGGAGGAGGAGAGGGCCGAATTCCTACTTTGCTTTGAGGCAGCCTGTGTCCTTCAGCGGGGAGACACACTGTACGGAGCGGTGTCATCACTCCAGTTAGCGTGTGCTGAGCCATCTGTGTGGTGGCGGCTGGGTCCTGCTGGCTGATAGACAACCCAGAGAAAACATCTTTAATTCTCTGGTGTATCATTCTGAAACTATTGGGAGCTGCAGTTCTTTGCAAATCGTTTTGTACTTGAGAAGTTAAGAACAGCTGTCTCTTCTCTTTACTTTATACGGCTGTTCTGGCTGTCGCCCTGTCCCCTGCTGTCTTTGGGTCTCCTCAACTCCTGCTCCTCACTTTGAGAAAGGCCCAGTGGGGGTCTTGCCCCAAGTCTGGGCAAGTGTAGATTCCTTCCCTGTGGTACATAAACACGTGTTGTGAAGACACCACCTTGGACTGCACGGGAAGCCCTACTTGATGACAGTTCTTTACCATTTCCTTCATTTCTTTCACATAAACTCATTAATCAAGGTAACTTGTTAAAGCACACACTTCACAAAGTCAGGATGCTTCCAGGTCAGGCCTGAGAGATAGAGAGGTCAACTAAGGCAGAAAGTCAGGATGCTCCAGGTCAGACCTGAGAGATAGAGAGGTCAACTAAGGCAGATAGATTTAGTTGGATTTCCCCTACAAGCTTCAGTGGTTCCCTTCCAGGATGGGGAAGTAGCTGAAGAACAAACCCAGTTATCTGTAGAGAGAAGTCCTTTCAGCAGAGTTTCCAACTCCTGTCCTATAAAACACTTTCTGCCTTAATTCCTTGTGAAAGGTTCTGGGAAACACGAGCATAAAACAGAGCGTTGAGTAAAGTAAAATCTGAATATTGTGACATCTCTCCTGAGGTAAGGGGTAGGAAAAGAGACAGCTGACAACTACGGCCTATTCAGGCAAGCTAAATTCTACCTTGCTTCCTTGTCAAGCAATTCCTTCTTTCTGGCTGCTGGCAGTTCCTTAGGAAAGGACCGCTCAGGTCCTTTGTCAGTCCTGGGGGCCCCCTGTGTTTTGCTTTTAGACAAAGCAGGGTCTGAATCTAACACGTTGTGAAGGGTGGCAAAGCTTCAGCAGAAGGTGTGGCTGTCCCACCCCGGTAGGACAAGGGGGTGTGTGGCTGAGGTCCCATATTTAAATTAATTTCCTTCACCTACAAGGAAGGCGTGAGTCTGGAGTGTGAGGCTGATGTGCACAGATCGCCCATCAGGTTCAGTTTTGGGGCTGGGCTGGAAAAGAGAAATGTCTGTGTGCTTGCAATGAAGGGGATCTGCTTATTCTGTGACACTTCAGTCTTCTCCTACAGCGTGCCTTGCCCTCTGGCCGTGTCATAAGCCGATTGTGAATGCCATGTGTTTTTTGTTGCAGAGACCATTAATGAATTGACTTTTGGTGCTGGGGTCAGTTACATCAGCTTGACGCACTCACCCGGTTCAGCTCCAGGCAAGTTATCTGTGTGATTGTAACGTGAGGGGGGAGAACCC